GAGTTGAAGAGTGAAAGATTGGAACCTGGCACACCATATTCAGTTCCCCATTTGACCACACAAATCATGTGATAGTCTTGGGCCAGTCATTTAGCACAATCTCCCTTCCCCCCACCCCCAAAAAAGCCCCATGGCATTTTCAAAATAAAAACTAATTTTAGGGAGTTATGCCTTCTGTTTGAAAATGTACATTTTATTTATCTATTTATTTATTAAATTTATGTGGCTGCCCATCTCATAGGAAGTGACTCTGGACAGCATACAGCAAAAAATATAAAACAAATATGTCAAACATAGTGATATTAAAAAGAACACATGCACACAAGAGATTAGATCAGTAAGGGAGCCACCTCTAGATCTCACTTTATAAAGTGGGGAAGACATTCTTTTGATTTTATTTTTTATTATTTATTTTGTGATCAATGGCTTCCCAGTAATAGCTTTTATGAAGTGAGAGGATTTATTATCCACTGAGTATATCTGTTAGTACACTGTGTATACCTCCTAGATGGTGGCATATGGGTAACTCTGTTGATTTGCCAGATAAATGTAGAGATCCTACTAAATTATATAGAATAGCTTAAGCAAGCTTGGGTAAAACTAGGCTTTGGTTGTATTTGTGTAACACTGGACAAAATGTGCCAAAACTGACTGGTCCTGGAATGCTGCATATGGTACAGCAGCAAAGTTTCTTTGAGCCCATCTAGTGATGACCAAGGCATATTGAAGGTTGTGATTTGGAATGCAAGAAGAGTAAATGGTAGATGGATGAATTAATGAACAAAATGAAATAGGAAGAAAAGGAAAGGTATATTGTTTGTTTGTCATACTAAGGAAGGAGAAGAATATGTGAATGAAGGTAGTTTGATCTTGTAGACTTGATGACTATATGGAGGGAAGTGAAGGTGAATTATGAATGTCAGAAAGTATGAACTGGTATCTCCTGGGCTGTTGTGAGCACATATCAAAGGGAAGTGAAGGTGTAGGTTTAATTATGAGTGAAGGGGCTAAATGTATGTCAGAAAGTATGGTATCATCTGAGGTGTTGTGGGCACATATCAAAGGGAAGTGAAGGTGTAGGTTTAATTATGAGTGAAGGGGCTAAATGTATGTCAGAAAGTATGGTATCATCTGAGGTGTTGTGGGCACATATCAAAGTAGGAATCCATAGGTTGTTACACTTTAATGAATTATGGCAATGTAATAATCAGATATGAATTTTCAGAAAAATCATGCAATATTTGGAACAGTGGCATCTGCAGGGGAGCTAAAAAAAAAAAAAGTCAAGGTGGTGGCTGCAACTGTGCAATGAAAACCCTGCCCCTTTTTTATAAGAATCAAGAGGCACATAAAAAAAGGTGTAGGGTTGTGATCTCATGATTGTAGCCACCATCCAGACTTTTTGACAACCCCCCATGAAAGCCTCTGATTTTGAACTAATGTAATGGGGGAGTATGTGATTATTCTGTTAGGGGACATTGATAAATAGATGTAAATAATTTGGCCATTCAGAGAATTAAGAATGAATTAGAATGGTGATTGGTGGGTACTTAGAAAAATATCTGTTTCTTTCAAACATGTGTTTCAGTTTATGCATACATATGGCAAGGGAATGAATATAAATTTAAAGCATTATCGATTTAACTGTTTTGAGAGAATTAGTGAAGGATTCAAGGGTGATGAAAGATTATGAATGCAGAACAGGAATTCCTTTGGTAACATTTTATCTTTGGACAAAATGGAGTTAAAGAAGAATGACCACAGGAAGAAAAAGTATGAGTCATTTTGATACTTTTTCAATCAAAAAGATTTAAAAGGCAAATTAATCTCCCAGATGGAAAAGTGGATAAGGAAAGAGATACAGAAGCTGTCTGGCACAGGGTGAAAAGCATTATTTTACAGAGTGCCACAGAAGTCTGGTGAGTTAAGCTAATGGGGAGACTGCTTGGTGGCATGATGAAGTGAAAGGGATTGTGTGTGAGGAAAAACATGTACTGTATATAGGAGAAAGATTCTTGTGAGCTAAACAAGAAGCCTCCAGTGGAGTGAACAGCACTGAAAATAAAAATGGTGAAATGATTGGGAATGAAGTTGAAGTGAGGGAATGCTGAAATAAGTATTTAAGATATACATAGGAATTATAGTGATAGGTCAAAGAGCAGAATTAAAATAAATATTAATCTCCTGGGGAAAAATCTTGAAAATATAAATGCTGTGAGAATGTGGAACCATTGTAAGGCTGCAGGTCCAGTTGGTGCAACTGGAGAAAAGCTAATGGATGTATTTTTTTCTTATGGAGTGGCTGTACAGCCTACTTAACACCTGGGTAAGGACTACAGCTATGCCCAAGGATTGGAAGAATTGTGCTAGTTTTCTCCTATAGAAAAGAAAGCTAGTAAGGGTAAATGCAAAACTACAGGGGGGGTTGTTTGGTGTGTCTAGGAAAATGTTTGGCAGAATTCTGACTTACAGAGTATAAGACATGACAATGAGCCAAATTTAGGACATGCAGGGTTATTTTAATATCAGAAAGGTTGTTCAGATCAGACCTTTGCTTTTCAGCAGTTCACTGAGAAATGTATGAATGTGGGAAAGAAAGTTTATTGCACATTTGCTAATTTAGAGAAAACGTATGATAATGTGAATAGCCTTGAACTTTAGAATGTTTTTCATGAGCATGGGGTTGAAGATTAGTTGAATGTGATAAAGGTATCATACGATCGAAGTAAAGCATGCATGAGGATGAATGAAATGTTTAGTGAATGGGTTAACATTGAGGAAGGAATAAGACAAGGACGGGTAATGTCCCTATGGTTACTTCACATATTTATAGATAATTTTATCAGGAATGTTTATGGTGATTGTACAGGTCTTTTTATTAGGGACATAAATGTTCACCTACTTTTATGCAGATAACACTGATTGATTTGCAGCAAATGTTAGCTTAGATGGCATGATGCAACAAGGAATATGAAAATGAAAATCAACATATCAGCTATTAGGATTGTTGTGTTTGACACAGCAATGGAGTAAATGATTAGAAGTTATATTTTAATGATAAAAAACTGGAGCAAGTAGATGAATTGGGGTATTTTGCTGAAATGTTTACTGAAGATGGGAAAATGGAGACAGTTTAAGACATGCAAATGCTGGTAGAAAGGTAGTGGGTAGTATGTGGTCTGTTACAAGAAATGAACGTTTGACAGAAGAAATGGAAATGGCTGTTCCCACTTTGTTATAGGGAGTTTGATATGTGAGCAGTTGGTAAGGTCCTCAGAAAGAGAGAGGAGAGAAAATTAAGGATCAAAAGCCAGTGTTTGAAGTGGTGGAAGCAAAGAGGTTCTAAGGATACAAAGCAATATATGGTGAAAGTGTTGATGTTAAAATTAATGTTAGTTATGCTTTATTTTTGCTATCTCACCCCTTTGATTTCTTACTCATTTTCTGCACTCTGCATAATGTTGCTTACTCTGAAAAAAAACACATGATGGCAATGTACTGTATATATGTATGTATATATGGGTGGATTTATAGTAATATAAAAGCTAAATACTGATGGAAGCTGCTTGCCAAAATTTAATATATTTAATCAACTGTCAAGTATAGTAAAGTTATTCTATTGACTTTTCCCCATCTCCTGTAATAGCCTAATGAAAGAGTATCTTATTCACCATAGCATAGTATAGGTTTTCTATACAGCTCTTTGTTGGTTAGTTTGAGTTGGTTAGTTTAAACCGGTGTTTTTCAAACTTGGCAACTTTAAAATGTGTGGACTTCAACTCCAGAATTCCCTAGCCATCATACTCCCATAACAATGCCACAGCCACCATTTTGCCTGTTTTGACACCTTCCCACCCCCCTGTGAATGCTTCCTGAACAGGAGGAAGAAATAAGCCAGCACAATTTAAAATTCCCTGTTGCACATCATTGGCTTATCCAGGGCATTGCATCAAAATGGCTGTTTGAGAAGTTAGCCAGAGAATGTTAAGTATAACTGTAAAACTCTTATTTTTTTTAAAAAAAAGAAAAACACAATGAATACAGCTTTATAATTAAATGTTTCATATTTAATTTTTTTTCTGGTTTTAGAAATGGAAAACACATCATTAAGCATAGAATCTGAGTACATCAAGAATCTTCAACAGCAAATTTATTTCCTTGAACTGGAAGCTAATTTTCTATATCCTGTGCATTGCTGACTACAGTTAACTAAAAATCAGTGAATTAAAGAATAATAGGGGTAGGATATTCAAAAGATTATTTGGAATGTTCAAGTCAAATATTTTATTAATGTGGAAACTGAATGAGAATTGCTCAGCTATTTTCTGTTTTAAATTTTAATGAAAGGAATCTATTCAGTTAACATTAATTTCATCCTTTTGCCTTAACTTTTTGTTATTACTCGTGAACAGACTAAAAAAGCAATTAATCTTCAGCCTCTCCTTGCATCTGAAATGGAACATATGTTGCAAAAACTACAGGTAATTTTTTAATCTCTATTTGAAAAATAATGGCATAGCAATACTTTGCATATTTACTTACACTTAATAAGTTATTATTAGAAGAATGTGAAAGTACTGTTGTTGTTGCCTGGAAACTCAGGTGATTTGGCATGGAGTTGATGGAACCTATTTTTCTGAATTTGAGAGAGCAACTAACTTTGCAAAGTGGCTTTTTCCGACACCACAAATCATGAGTACTTCAGGCAAAGTGAAAAGCATTTATTAAGGGGGGGTCCAGTCTTTATATAGGGTATAGAAATAAATGATACATTTGGTATACTGTATGTGATGCATCAGAAAGCAACAGATCATACAATAAGAGACATTAATTAGATATGAGAAATAATACAGAACATTAATCCTAGATAACATTCCACAGGTGTAAATTTATGGGTTACATCACCCCCTTTCCCAGTCAAATTTGTATCTTTCTTAATACTTGCAAGTGTATTCAAGGACTTCCAGAATACGCTCCCTATTGTTCAGTTGCTGGAAAGGCTAGTTCTTGCATATCAAAATAAGAAATTGCTTTGGTTGAAAAGAAAACATCGTTTCTTGAACTTCAAAAGGAAGCATGGATGCCATGCTAAAATGCTAATATCACCTTTATTAAAAAGCTAATAATGAAGCCTAAAATTCCAGGTAACACTATCGTTTCTTGAACTTCAAAAGGAAGCATGGATGCCATGCTAAAATGCTAATATCACCTTTATTAAAAAGCTAATAATGAAGCCTAAAATTCCAGGTAACACTGTAGCTTCTTCCAGCAGTTTCAAAATGTATTAGTCAGTTTTGGACTTGCTATAAAAAAATGAAAACACAAAGAAAACAACGAAGCTAACTACCAACAAGTGCATCTGAAATGTATGTATGGAAATTTTTCAGTATTATGTCTAAAAGCCAATTTATCAGAACATGTATTTCAGTGATGTCCAAACTTGGCCACTTTAAGATGAGTGGACTTCAACTCCCAGAATTCCCTAGCCAGCATGGCTGGCTGGGGAATTCTGGGAGTTGAAGTCCACTCATCTTAAAGTGGCCAAGTTTGGACATCACTGAAATACATGTTCTGATAAATTAAGATATATTTAAACAGACAATAAATGCAAACAAGCAAGACACTGATGTATTTAAAACAGACTCCTTAAGATACTGAACTTCTCTGTTCTTTCTGTGTAACCATATAATTAATTAAGCTCATTGTATTTTTATCCTTTCATAGACATTACAGTGTCAGGCTGATAGCCTCCATCTGGAACTGAAGCGAAAGAAAAGTGGTTTAAACATGCTGAAGATGGAAAGAAACCAACTTAATAACCAGATCAATATGGCTGATGGTAAACATTTTTTTCATCTTTATTAAAATGTTGTAGATTTGGTGCTACCTTTTCCGACAGTCCTAAGAATTTTTATATTTAATAAACATTTGAATTTTCTGTTGACTTCTAATTTTTGAAAAACATCTCAGAAAAATTTACGGCAAATCACTTCCATCGCACTGGCAAAAAAACTCCACACACCCTCACTGAAATCATTAAGTGGTGCCATTGTAGATAGGGAAATGAGGTGTTGCATATGTCCAGCTGTTGTATTGTTCTTTGCAATACAGAAAAATAGCCAAAGAGTAAGAAACATTAGTAAAACCATCCAAGATACTTGAACCTCTAAATGGTCTTTTCTGGATAATAGTAATCATTCTTTCCTCTGGACTATGAGGAACTATGTGACTATGAATGAAATTACCGCCAAGGCTCAGCATTGGTAAAGGCATGCTGAAAATTATTTTGAAGAACTAGGATTTTCCACATCTTGCATATGCTTATGCTCCTTAGTAAATAGAAAGATATATTTAAACAGACAATAAATGCAAACAAGCAAGCATTGGAAGGGAAGACAAGACAAGAACAGACTTTTAATCTCGCTCTAAATTCACAATGTTAGCTACCTCATTCCACTGTGTATTACCGTTTGTTGAAACTGCTGACTGTGACCATCCTGAAAAACCGAATATTAAGTGTACATTTCAAGCTTCAGATGACCGTTTATTTTATTTTTTTCAAAATAGCACCATCCTGTGGTGAAATTGTATATTATTGCTTCAAATATGTCTTCAGGAAATAGTATATTTTCTCTCTTTCTTGTCTTTAATTAGGCAGAACAAAATTCTAAAAGGAAATGTTAATGTGTTGATTAACTGATTATAAATTAGTCTCCAGAAGGCAGTTCAAATATATTAAGTGGAGATGAAGTAAAATCAGTTTCCTTAGTATGTAAATAGTGTGGTCTTGGGTTTAGTAAAAAATGATGCCTTGCTAAAGCTTTCCTCCAGAAGATGCTTAGCCAGGATCAGTCTGGAAGCAAGTCCGGTGTTAATTCAGGGGGAAGGGAAAATGTAGTGTTCTAAGTACTGGTATTGTACAGACCTGTGTTCTAAATCAGCAGCTGTTCTGGGCAATTAGGTAAACCTGAATTGCTTATTTAACCATGGTTTATTGACTAATCCACAATTGGCTGAACTTACATATCACAACAAGGCACAAATATGCAAACCACATTATAATTTAGTATGATATGCAGATGTAAATGTCCTACTTGTCCTACATAGCCTATTAACACAATTCAGCTTCAGCTCCAAGCAGGTTTAACATCAGCACAAAACTGGGCAAATTGTATTTGCTTATAATACTTTTATATCACCCTGCTCAATCTGATTCCTGGAAGTTACATAAAAAAATTAAAAATAGGAAGACAGCATAGAAACTATGAATGATTGCATAGCAGCTCTCACTCACTAGCACCTTGGCCACCATATTTTGTAACAGCTAAGCCTTTTGAATTATTTTCAAAGGTAATCCCGTGGAAATTGAAATACAGTAATCTAACTGATGGTGTGGTGATAAGGGCATGAGTTACTGTTGCCAAGGCATTCTGGTCCAGATATGACCACAACTGGCACATCCAGCTGAACAAAGATCCCCCAAATACAACTTCTAGGGGATGGTTGGACACGAGGTAGACTGAGAGATGGCTTCTTTGAAAGACAGTGCAGCACCAGCTCTTTCAAGGCTAAAAGCCTCATACCCTCTCTAAAAGAAGCATTAGCCATCTCTTGAATCAGCCATTCACTTGACCCCTTGCTGCCTGAAGAAGCCAGGAGAGACATGGATCTAAATCACAGATAGTGCTGTTCATACTACAGAGAACCCTATCCACTTCCGCGATTTCATGAGCTCAAATGAATCCCAAATGTTATAATTCAAGACAGGATTCTTGAATTATCCTCTGTTTTGTTGGTAATATTGTTGGTACTATTCACTGTTACTGAAACTGCTTCTGCTATGTGTTCTACAATCCTCTTCCCTACCAATTTCATAAAGTTGGATCAACACTAAGTTAATCGTATTTTAGTCTCAGTGAAATCTGGATTTAGCCCGTCATATGTTCACTATATTTCCTCTTTTAAAATGTTATTGCATTTTCTTTCATTAATGTAAATATGGTTATTTTCTGCAGTATTAGCTTTGAAGAATGTTTGCTCCTTCCTCTTACTTTGTTTTGGATTGTCTAAAGTGCTTCTTTTGATCTTTTTCCTTTACGGCCATTATCCAGTTGAGGACATCAGTACCTATGATTTTAACCATCATGCTATTTTCAGAAATATATATTTCTTCATTATGCAGTTCTTTAGAATAAATTCATTTGATTCATTCAGATAAATAACCTGTCTCGATTAACTCTAGTCATTAGGATGTGAAAGCCAAGTACTACATTCCCCAGTATTGGGTAATCTCTGTTGTCATATTGTACCAAACAAAAACAAAACAGTAGTAGACTCACATTAAAATGCAATAACAGGTATACAGACATTAAATAGGATACAAGCTAAATTTTGTTGTTAGGTCATTTAGTTGCTTTTGTCTCTTTGCGACCCAATGGACATTATTTCACCATAACTGTCTGTCACCTAAGCCAAATACTTGGGGTTTTTTTTTAATGCATAAAATAAGGCACAAAATCTTTCGGAGCAGAATGTTCTACATTCTGATGCTGCTACAGGTAACACCTTGACTCACCAGCCATGACTCAGCCAGCAGAGAACACATTTTGATCACTGTTCATCTCAAGGAACAAGATGGACCATACAGATCTGACTATTTTAATTCCCTTTTTCTGTCACATAAGGAAACACAGGTTGTAAAACAAAAGGGCATCTGTGTAATGTGACATTTTAAGTACATTGCAGACCATGGGTAGAATCCAGTAAAGTTGTTCTGTTGGCAGAACAGGAGAATGTCTACATACCTTCAGAATATATTTGAGTGGGAAGATTATTTCAGGTGGATACTGAGGGTAACAAAAGGTCTTAGGGGGAGGAGAAAAAAAAACCCCATTCTCATAAACAAACTTCTCTTGTATAATGTTAAATTTCATTTATATTAAAATACATAGTTCTGTATGATGAGAAGAGAGGTTTTTGAAGCTTCTTTTTAAACATAGTTTGTTAAAAAAATCAAAGTTGCTGAGTTCAGATATAATACATTAAGACATAAGTCATGGTTTATAAAGTTTTATGAGTGAGTTCACACAGAACAAGGATGGAGAATTTATGGCTTTCCAGTGTTTACTGAATTCCAAATCCTAACAGACCTCACCATTGTCATTTTGAGGTTGCTGATAAATTTATTTTGACAATAATTGGAGGTCCATGAGTTTACTCAGTAAAATCTCCTTTAAGTCAGACTTGACTTCTGGTGACTCCATTGCCAGCCCTGGAATCTCCTGGTGGTTTTCTAACCAAGTACCAACTAGGTCCAACCCTGCTTAGCTTTTCGAGATCAGCAAGTTAATTAGATTCCATATACCTTCCTTAAGTATTAACAGATATATTTCTATATGTTTGTATATTTCATATTTTCTGTATTTCACTACCTTCCTGTTCATTGTGCTCTCTTCACCATTCATTCATGGTGTGTGTGTATGTATATGTTGTGTGTGTGTGTGTATGTGTATGTATATATATATTTCAGCCCACTAGGAAGACCAGACCAAGAAATCTACTCCACAAGAAGGGTAAAACTACTTTTATTGAGATTGGTTACAATAACTGGGTCTTGCAAGTCTGATTGTGTTGTACCTCCTCTTACTACTTACAGTTCAGTGAATTAGGGAGGTGTCTGTCTGAGACACTTACAAATATTATCTATGTTTTGTGGACTTAAACTATTTTTTACCCCTCATCACCTTCATAACAGAGCTTGCGTATCTCCATCAAGATCATCTTTATACTCTACAATATTTGTGTGTGCGTGTGTATAAAATATTAAAACACTATCTTAGGATAACCATGTATCTGGTGAAGTAGACTACACTCCACACAAGCTTATGTCAGTGTTTCTCAAACTTTTTGCAATTGTGAACCATTAAATAAACATTGGTGTGTGCAAAGCAAAGACCAAGGTGGCAAATAGGTTTTTATCATATGACTACTGAGGCATGGAGAGAGGTCAGCAGGTTCTGACCTGTTATTACAGCAAAGTTGCAGCAAACAACTTGGTGGACTTCCATGGTTTACTGTCCATCTGAGAATCATTGGCTAATACTACCACGGATGTTTTTCAGTTGCTATAAGACTTTTTTTTTCCTTTTTGCTGCAATAGACTACCATAACTATCTCTATTAAATCAATCAGACAAAACACCCAGCTTAAATGTTTATTTTGCCATGAATAGATGAGATAGATAATGCACAAAATAAATTATTTATATATGACAAAATGTCCTTTTTCTCATTTTTGAAAATTCTAGCTTTCCATGCATCCCATCTTTAATGTTATGCTAAAAAACAGACTTGAAGTTTTGACTTAATTTAATTTAGTTTACTACTATGTTAATTTGATCACAGTCACAGTGAGCTATTATTAAAAGTGTTCGGCTTTAGGACTTTAATGTTATCCTATGCTGGCAAGAATTTTATCATAAATTCTACTTTCAGAGCATCATTTAAAAGAGAAACAGGTTTTGGTAGAAGAAATCACACAACTGAAGAGAGAGAAAGCACAGAAAGATGAACAAATCTCTGTAAAACAAATTGAGATCTCATATGCTAATCAGGAACTGGAAGAGCAACAAATGAATCTGAAAAACAAAGAACAGGCTATCCTTATGCTAAAAACAAAGGTACAAGTTATTTTATTTATAGTTTATGATTGATCTTAATAGATAATATGATTATCTATAAATATGATCTATAAAAGAGCAACAAATGAATCTGAAAAACAACAGGCTATCCTTGTGCTAAAAACAAAGGTACAAGTTATTTTGTATTGTCGAAGGCTTTC